TTTTTATCATCAGGTTTTTTTTTTTTTGCTTGGTACGAGTATGTTATGCATCCAGTATTGTCTCTGTAGTTATGATCATCTTTCAGGTAACAAAACGTATTTCACTTCTAGTACCTACAGTTGTCTAGATGCACAGTTTTATGATGATGAAACTGTGACGGTGGTTCTTAAGGACACTGTAGGACGTGAAGGAAGAGACAGACTCTTGGTCCAGTTGCCATTGTCTTCAGTGTATAACTGTGAAGACCCTGCGGAATATCAGTTCACTGGGAATTACTCTACAAGGTAACTAACTCGTCAGTAAGTTCCTCTTTCTGATATCACGGTTACAATGTTTTTAATGTATGTCATCTATTCCAGTTCTTTATGTATGCTAGATAACAGTTAACCAGGGATAATCATAAAGTCAGTCATATTTTTTATTTTAAAAATACTGGCTTTAACAGCTCTTCTGTTTCTTTGCTTTACTAGTAAATCAGTAGGAATGTGCTGGAACAAGGTTGGGTGTTATTTGGGGTGGAGAATCGGACTTCTGTGAGTTCTTTCTTCAAGAGCAGCATTAATCCCACTTTATAGTAGAATTAGTTACCCTAGATTGCCTTCAGTGTTTCCCTTCCTGATGTAGGGCCTCAGTAGCCACATGGAGAGGACGTGGCCATTTCCAAGAGATGGCTTTGGCTGACTGAGATTTAAGAAAGCAGATCCTTTCTCTAATTTAAAAATGTGTCTATTTATTCTCTTCGAAAGAGAATAAAAAACCTTACTAAGAAGATATTTTGCTTGTTTGTAATTATAGTATTTTTATAGAATATAGCACACAGTGTTTTTATACAGAGTCTGGTAAAATTATCTTGGAGATGGGAATATCGGTAGAAACCGAGCCCATGGTTGACCCTGACACCCCCCCTAGTAAACCAGGAGGTGATCCCCTTTTCACTCCTGGGTCGGTTTTTCCCGCTCTCTAGGCTAGATGAACAGTGTGGTGCTATCCCGACACGTACCATGCATTTCGAGAAGCATTGGAGATTACTGGAAAGTATGAAAGCGCAGTATGTTGCTGGGAACGGTTTTCGAAAGGTGTCCTGTGTGGTAAGTGTTTGCAGATTGCTTACTAAGAGTTACAGGAGGAAGCGACTGGATCCATATGGTCCTTTCAGGGCAAACTTTTTGTGGTAAATTGCTTCTGTTGATGATGAGCTTGTTAGTCACCTTAGCTATTTAGTTCTCTTGTTCTGAGAAAGCTTACTAAGTAATCAGTAACAATTCTAGATTTTAATTATGAAATTGTTACTATTGCATGTGGAGATTCTTTTGTGCAAAATGAAAGCTTCAGTTTAGTGATTTTGTTGAACATTGATGGGAAAATAATCCTATGTAATAAAACCCTAATATGCAAAGCAACCAAACGGTGGAATGACCGGTCGCTATGATGCTCACTGACCACCAGGGGGCAGATGCTCAACGCTGGAGCTGTCCCCTGGTGGTCAGTGCGCTCCCACAGGGGGAGCACCGCTTAGCCAGAAGCCAGGCTCGTGGCTGGCAAGTGCAGCGGCGGTGGTGGGAGCTTCCCCCACCTCCATGGCAATGCTAAAGACCCCTCCGGGGATGTCCGACTGCCAGCTTAGGCCCGCTCCCCTTGGGGGGGTCCCCAGACTGTGAGAGGATGCAGGCCAGGCTGAGGGATGTTCCCTCCCACCCCCCTCCAGTGCATGAATGTGGTGCACCGAGCCTCTAGTTTTCCTATAAAACCATTCTTTGAACTCCTGATTTCTAATTCCTTATACATAATTAGCTAAGCCATACATTTTAAAATTCTGTATTTGGCCTTTTTTTTTCTTCAGTTAAGCTCAAATCTCCGTCATGTGAGAGTGTTTGAAATGGACATCGATGATGAATGGGAGCTGGATGAGTCTTCAGACGACGACGAGGAGGCCAGCAATAAGCCTGTAAAAATCAAGGAAGAAGTGTTGTCCGAGTCGGAGGCAGAGAGCCAACCAGCTGGTGCTCCTGCTTCAGCGCCGGAGATAGTCATCAAAGTGGAGAAACTGGACCCGGAGCTGGACTCCTAGTCTCGGTGCCATTGTTTCGTATGTTCTTATCTTGTCAGAAAGGACACAGGAGGCAGGCTCAGATGTCTTGAACCACTTTTAATTCTCTTTGTGTAACAAAGAAATAAACAGCAATTTTTATCCTCATTCCGCTTCATCTTCTCTTAGTGGTATAGTCACTGTGATAGACTTTCTTTTTGCTGAAATTCCTTTATATTACTGTGTGCTGAACTAGTGCTTAAAGAAAACTTAAATTGTGAAGAAAAAGGTAGGTATCGGAAATCATTCCTATATCAGGAAAAAATTACAATTAAGTAGTCATTCACTGGAAGTTTTTTTCTTTTTAATTTAAATTCTTTATTGTTTAAAGTATTACATATGTCTCCTTTTTCCCCCATTGACTTCTCCCTGGCCACTACCACTCCCCAGCACATGCCCTCACCCCCCTGTTGTCTGTGTTCATTGGTTAGGCTTATATGCATGCATACAATTCCTTTGGTTGATCTCTCCCCCATACTCCCACCCTCCCCTGCCTTCCCTCTGAGGTTTGATGGTCTGTTCCATGGTCCTATGTCTC